GGGCGCACCACCACCACCACCACCACCACCACCACCAACGACAACGACAACGACAACGACAACGACAACAACAACAACAACGACAACGACAACGACAACGACAACGACAAAGACAACGACAACAACAGCAACAACAACAACAAGAAGAAGAAGAACAACAACAACAACAACAACAAGAACAACAACAACAACAACAGCATGCTGTCCCTCGTTCCATGGCTTCAGCTGGTTGAATGTGTTCACTTCGCCGCTCCAGCTTATTTTTTTTTGGCTGCCCCGGGGGCGCAACACCACCACCACCACCACCAGCAGCAGCAGCAGCAGAACCACCACCACCAGCACCACCACCACCACCACCACCACCACGACCAACAACAACAACAACAACAATAACAACGACATGATGTTCCTTTGTTTCTGGCTGAAGCTGGTTCAATGGTTCACTTCGGGGGGAGGGCGCTGCGCCCTCCCCCCGAAGCCCCCCTCCAGCTTTTTTTTTAAGGATGCACCGGGGGCGCACCACCACCACCACCAGCACCACCACCACCAACAACACCAACAACGACAACAACAACAACAACAACAACAGCAACAACAACAACAGCAACAACAACAACAACAACAACAACAATAAGAACAACAACAACAACAACAAGAACAAGAACAAGAACAAGAACAAGAACAAAAACAAAAACAAAAACAACAACAACAACAACCACAACAACCACCACAACCACAACCACAACCCTGTCGGTCCAGGTCCTCGCTTAACTAGGCCTTTGGTAAAGGCCTAGTTTAACCTGGCCTTTAGGACTGATGTCGTGATTATATGACCCTGCCTGCCAGGTGCTTCTTGGACAGGATACGGGCTCAAAGCGGTTTTTACGTTTTCCTAGTGACTCATTCACTCATTCAGGTCAACAATTGGATTAAATTCGGATTATTGGTCAACCCGATGAACTTTTACGTAACACCATTTATACCCAGGAAATTTGAAGCACAACTACCTGGCACTAAGTGGTGATTTGATACAGCCTTACAGTGGTTTTGAGCGATGGGTGGCAAAACAGCTCGGGCATTTTCTTGGCCCCTTCCTCAGTATAGATTTTTTTGCATCACTTGGTGACTAAATTTTCAAGGACCTGCTACCCATACTCAGGTCATGCAAAGATGGAAACGATCCTTCAGCCAAAAACTCAAAAATCCAGGTTCCTATTAAGGATCTTTTTTTTTACGACCATTGAGGCATGGTGGATACTTCGATGTCCAGCTCCGAGAATGAGAGTTCCAATTCTTTGGGCGATGGTGCGCCCCTGCCCCCATCATTGCTGGGATATTGCTGGGATATTTAATTTGGATCTTCATTTTTGAGATTCTGCGTTGAATCAATCACTTCAATTTTGCTCAAAATCTATGGCCCGTTTGGCATAGGAAAAGAAAACCACGTAGAAAATTTTGGGAGCCCCTGGTATACTAGCGGGTAATACATGCATATATGGGTTATTAATAAACATGGGGGAATCTTCACAAACCCTCTGCACACGCGTGTTGTTTCTTTTTGCGGCGTCTGGTAGCTGTTCCCATGCCGACCAGCAAACCGAATCCTGACGTGGTGGCGCTGCTGGTTGTCAGGAAACCCAGTTTAATGATTGAGTTGCAATCATCAATCAAATGGATCAGATGGGGATTGTTTGCGTTTTTTTACTCAGGATCTCTACGAGTCTCTCCTGACCCCTCTGTTCATTAAAGAAAGGAAACAAGTTGCCACCACGGTGAAGCCTGGGAAAAAACCTACGAAGGCCGGGGTTATGTAGAAAGCAGGTCAAACAGCACCGTTGTTCCCAGCCCCATCGCAGCCGGCTGCCCAGGCTCAGAAGAAAAAGTTGTTCAGCTTCTTGGACATCTACGGTTCTGCCTTCAACGAGAAGCAGGCTTTTGGGCCAAGTCCGCTTATTTCAAAAAATAATTCCAACTAATTTGTTTGTCAAAATGACCGATAATTTTAATATTGGTCTGTCTAGGTGACTTCAACCTGGCGTATGTTGCCAATTTTGCAGCGGCACCTCCAACCATGAAGGAAGTGAAGGCCACATTTGAATTTGAGTGTTTCACGTTTATAAGTTTGTCCCCCAATCCAAAATTATAAACCCAGTTTTGAAATTCTGCCAGGCAGCCTTGAAACAAGTCAACTACACTTATGACTTGAACTCCGCAGCCTTCGATGCAAAAAAAGACACTCCTGCCCTAGAAGTTTTGAGCCCAGTTTGTCAGACTAGAACCGGTGCCATCACAAAACAATTTGGCCCATTTTTCCCAGGCCTGGTTGGAATACGAAAGTGGTGTCCAACGAGCCTCAGCGTCGTACATTTGCCGGCGAACAACTCGGAATGCGGGTGCGAGGATTGAGCCGGTTCATGCCAATTTATATGATCATATATATATATATATATATTGCATAATCGT